CTCTCTGGGCTGGCAGGAGGCTGAGCAGCCAGGAGCGTGGTCCTGAGGTCACCTGCATAGGTTCCCCACCTTGGCTGGGCTGGGCTGGGCACTGACCCAGTCCATGACATAGGCCCACCTCACTCCCTCTTCTTTCAAATGGTAATAACTGTGGAAACTTCTAGAGGGCTGTTGTGAGGATGAGATCAGCTAGGTATGCGAGCAGTTAGCAGAGTCCCTGCCCAGGGCCGGCACCAGCAGGGCTGTGGTTGTGGCAGTCCACGTGGATGGCGGCTTGTCCACCTGTAACAGTGTGTCTGGGAGACCCTCATGTCTTAGTCAGTTGAGCCAATGATTTTAGTAAAGCTGATTATACAAGAGGTGGTTTTCGGAGAAGGACCGCGCTTGCTGGCAGACCTAAGTGTCTTGCATTCAGGACCTGGGTGGGAGCAGAAGCCTGCAGAAGGTCCTGTTTCTACCAGCTCTTGGACTTGCAGCCAGCCCTGCTAGTCCAGGCCTTGTCGTGTGGGGCTCTGTGAGCTGCTGCCTGGCCAAGTCCTATCCTCCTCTGTGGTCCTCTGCTCTGGGCTGAGCTGCAGGCTCGGGAGGTCTGGGATGGCCGGCTGGAGTCAGAGGAGTGGGGGCCCATCCTCCTTTCCCCCATAAACATCCCCCCACCTGCTGAATGTGGTTTATGTAACATGACTGTGGCGAAGTCCCTCTCTGTGGGAAAGGAGCCCGCAGCCTCCAATTAACCCAATTAGAAGCCATTACAGGCGATCCTGGCCTCCCCCTAACTCTTGGATTAGCATAATGAGCCTGTATGAGTCGCCAATTATAAACCCTCTCCATGGATTCATATTCTCTAAATTGCACTTCCCGTTGATGACAAGTTTTCTCCAGAGCAGTTCCCTTGACACAGAAATTTGTTTTCCTGCTTCCAGTATTCAGTCTCCTTCCTACCTGGGGAATCCACATTGCTGGACATCCGGTTCTTTCCCTGTGCTTACAGATTCTACAATTCTGTGTTTCTGAAGTTTTGGCATTTAGCAGTGGGTCACTGGGAGGGATGCATAGGGCTTAGGCATCCATAAGTCTTAGCTAGGACTTATGTTATGAAAATGACATTTTCTTGGGCAAATTTCTGTGTGCGGTGCAGTGGTTGGTTTGTGTGAGGACTGGGCTTTTGGGGCCTCTTGTTCCTTCTCCTGCTGTCTTCATGGGCATGGAGTCTAGCTCTCCCCACATGCCGTCGAGGCTCATCAGCCCAGTGTCGTGGGTACCGTGGAAGAATGTGCCGTGTGATGTGTGTACGGCTGGGTGCCTCATGTTGTTTCCCCTGTCCCTCCAGCCTCTGCAGGGAGGGGCAAGCTAGGCATTCACAGCCCTTCCTGAGGCATAGTGGGCCCACTGGTGGAGCCTTTTGTGGGGGAGCAGTCAGAGGAAGGTGGATGGCCTTTCCGTTCCCCTTTTCTTTGGAACCCCACAGCAGGAATGGGGCACATCCAAGGCTGGCAAGACCCAGCCTTTGAAACATGTGTGTGCCTCTCAGGTACAGAGGGCAGGGAGGTGGCAGGGCTTCAGGCAGTCCAGGGGTGAGATGGAAGGGGGTGGCTTTCACAGCCCCATCCCGCTGGTGCCTGCACACAGCGAGTTGCCCTTGGAGAATGGATGTGATGGAAGCATCTCAAGCCATGAAAGCAGGAGGCAGTTTCTGCAGTCGTGGTGCTCCCAGAGCAGGAGTGTGGAGATATTTACAGCCTGTGCAACGTGAGTGAGAGAAACCTCGACTGCTCCAGCTCCGTTTGGATGGTCATGGACGTCTTGGCTCCTCTCATCCAAAGCAGAACTCCTATTTTGCTCTCCAAACCTGCTCCCCTGCAGCTCTCTGCTTGTGCTGAAGGCCACTGCATCGTTTCAGATGCTCAGACCAAACCTCTCAGCAAACCCCACTTTACTCCACCCAAATGTCTTGTTGGCTCTACCTTCAGAATATCCTCAGAACCCACCCCTTCCCACCTCCCCATCCCTGCCACCCTGCTCTCAGCCCTAACCACATCCTCTCTTTCCTAAGTGACCAGCCTGCTAGTTGGTCTCTCTGTCTTCTTCCTTCCCTCTTCCTCCTATAGCCTCTTATGAACTCCCTCTGAAGCTAGGGAGATCCATTTAAAATGCCACTCAGGGCTCTGCTCTGCTCAGAACTCACCGATGCCCCCACCGCATTTCATTGAGAGCAAAGCCCAAGGCCCTTGCCGTGGCCAACAGGACTCCACGTGTTTTCACTCTCCCTGTCTACCTCTTTGCCCTCATCTACACTTTGCTCAGGCTCTCTCAGCTCCAGCCTCTGGTCTCTGCACCTGCCCATACCCTCCAGGAATGCCACTGTTCCAGAGCCTCTGCACTGGCTGCCCCCTTGCTGGGAGCATCCTTCTGCAGAAATCCACATATGTGCTTTCTCAGCTCCTCCAAGTCTCTGCTCAAACATTGCTTTCTCAAGGAGACACCTCAACTACTCTCCATAGAAGTAGGCTGGGCGTGATGGCTTATGCCTGTAATCCCAGCACTTTGGGAGGCTGAGGTGGGTGGATCAATTAAGGTCAGAGGTTCAAGACCAGCTTGGCCAACATGATAAAATGCCGTTTCTATTGAAAATACAAAAATTAGTCAGACATGGTAGCACAAACCTGTAATCCCAGCTACTTGGGAGGCTGAGGCAGGAGAATTGCTTGAACCCAGGAGGCAGAGGTTGTGGTGAGATGAGATTGTGCCACTGCACTCCAGCCTGGGTGACAGAGCGAAACTCAGACTGAAACACACACACACAAAACCCAAAAAAGCAGTGAGGCCAGTATTCTTCACTCTCCCTTAGTCCCTACCTTGATGAATTTTCCCGGCAGCCTTTGTCACCTTCTAACAGACTATGTGATTTATTTACCGATCATGTTTATTACATGTCTGTCCCTAACATTAGACTCTAATCTCTACAAGGGCAGCCCTTCCATCTCCCTTGCTTTCAGATGTGTCCATCCTAAGCAACTGCACAGTGCCTGGCATGTGATGGTGTAGAGTAGGCACTTGCCAACTAATGGAAGGAATATGAAAAATTGCTCCATATGTGAGTCTTGCTTTTCACCTCCCATGTTCTCAAGATCTTGTCTTGAATGAGGTTCAGAAAAACCTGCTTGATATTTTGAGCCAAGTCACGGGGCTCAGAGTGTGGTAGTGGCCTCCTATTGGGCTTCAGGGAGTGGGGGCAGCTATGGACACCAGTGGAGTTGAGCATGGGGTGGGTACAGGTGTCCTGGGGCAGCCACAACATGGGCCTACACACAAGGTGGCTTAAACAATAGAAATTTATCATGTCAGCCTGGAGTTCAAAGTTCGAGACCAAGGGGTCAGCTGGGCTGGTTCCTCCTGGAGGCTCTGAGCAAGACTGTGCTCCAGGCCTTGCGCCTGGCATCGAGTGACAGCTAGCTGTCCTGGGTGTCTCTTGGTTTGTAGACACATTGCTCCATCTCTGCTTGTATCTTCACATGGCCGTCTTCCTGTCTGTCTGCCTTCACGTGGGGCTCCTCTCTTTGTCTTACACATTGTGGTGATTATATCATCACCAAAATCAATGCATTTAGCTTTAATTCAATTCCTTTTGTGTCCAAATTTTATCTGTTGTTACAGTCACGTCCTTTGTAGATATTCTTTTCCTCGTCTGGAATCATCTCCTAGATTTGGAATAATACTTCACTTTTTTTTTTTTTTTTTTTTTTTTTTTTTGCCTTTCTTGATAATTTTAAGAAGGTCAGGCCCGTTATTTTACAGATTGCAGAACACTAAAGAAGTGATATTGTGTCCTTCTCAGTGCACCCTATCAGGAGGCACAGAATATCTGTTTGTTCCAATATTGGTGATGTTAGCTTGGTAAGTTGATTAAGGCGGTGTCTGCCAGTGGTGTTTCTCCACTGTAAAGTGACTCTTAAGTTTTAGATGACCTGGCCCTGCATGTGACACTGAGTATGTCACCGTGATGTTGGCAGTTTGAATGCCAGTGAGCCCCTCTCCTGTTGGCCTCTACTCTCTTTATTGGGAATCTCTGAAAGCTCTAAGCAGGGGCAAGATGGGTGGCAGATATTATTAAGGTGGGTGAAAGACAAGGCTATTTTTGAAGTTTCCACTGAATACAACGTCCACAAAGCACTATCTTAGGATGAAATCCCTAGTGCAGGTCAGCCTGCTTTTGATCCCACTTGTGACACAGATAACTCAAAGTAGGACTTGCCAGGCTGTGCCTGTGTGTGTGTATGTGTGTGTATGTGTGTGCATGTGTGTGTATGTGTGTGCATGCGCACACATGCATACATGCTCATGTTTTCCTCCCACATCCCAGCTTGGTTATGATGACTTCACATAGTCTGAGAGGTCAGTGCTGTTGGAGGCAGCAGGGGGCAGGCCTGGACATGCAGTGGCCTTCCTCATTCAGCTTCATACCCTCCATCTTCATGTCTTTTGCTTCCAGTGCCTTTTCCTGCACCCCTGTAGCCCAACTCACTGCAGAGTGGCCTCCTGGGCCTCACTCCAGCTGGGCCCTGCCTCTCCTGGCTCACTGCAGAGTGGCTTCCTGGGCCTCACTCTGGCTGGGCCCTGCCTCTCCTGGCTCACTGCAGAGTGGCCTCCCGGGTCTCATTCCGGCTGGGCCCTGCCTCTCCTGGCTCACTGCAGAGTGGCCTCCCGGGCCTCACTCCGGCTGGGCCCTGCCTCTCCTGGCTCACTGCAGAGTGGCCTCCCGGGCCTCACTCCGGCTGGGCTCTGCCTCTCCTGGCTCACTGCAGAGTGGCCTCCTGGGCCTCACTCCGGCTGGGCCCTGCGTCTCCTGGCCTCTTAACTTGCCTGCATGACTCAAACACCTAGTGATGCTGTCTGCATGGAATCTGTGTTTGGAGGCCAACAGGATAAAATAATGCCCCCTTTTAAATTTTGAGTTTTTAAATTGTGGTAAAATAGATATAACATAAGAATTTGCCATTTTAAACATTTTTAAGTGTGCAGTTCCTTGGCACTAAGCGCCTTCACCTCTTTCACAACCATCACCAGCATCCAGCTCCAGAACTCTTCATCTTCCCAAATGGAAGCTCTCCCTGTCCTCTGTCCCCCAACTCCTGGACCTACCATTCTACTTTCTGTCTCTAGAAATTGGACTATTCTAGGAACCTAATACAAGGGGGATAACAGAATAATTGTTTCTTTGTGTCTGACTTCTTTCACTCAGCATAACATCTTCAAGGCCATCCACGTTGCAGCACGTGTCAGAATTTCATTTCTTTTTAAGGCTGAATTATATTCCACTGTATGTATGTACCACATTTTGTTTATGTGTCATCTGTTGATGAATACCTGGGTTGCTTCCACTTTTGGCTATTGCAAAAAATGCTGCTGTGAACATGAGCATACAGACCTCTGTTCAAGCCTCTGCTTTCTCTTCTTTTGAATACATACCCAGAAGCAAAATCGTTGGATCCTATGGTCATTCCCTTTTTTAGTCTTTTGAGAAACCACTAAACTCTTTTCCATAGCAGCTGCAGTATCTTACATTTCCACCAGCGTGCACAGGGGTTAACATTTCTCCACATCCTCACCAACACTTGATATTTTTTCTTTTTCTTTTTCTGTAGTAGCCATCCCAATGGCTATGAAGTGGTATCTCACTGTGTTTTTTAAATTGCATTGCCATAAAGATTGGTGATGTTAAGCATCTTTCCATGTGTATAACCCCTTTTTAAGAATATAAATTTGGCTGGGCACAGTGGCTCATGCCTGTAATCTCAGCACTTTGGGTGGCTGAGGCGGGTACATCACCTGAGGTCAGGAGTTAGAGACCAGCCTGACCAACATGGTGAAATCCCATCTGTACTAAAAATACCAAAAATTAGCTGGGTGTAGTGGCAGGCGCCTGTAATTCCGGCTACTCGGTAGGCTGAGACAGGAGAACTGCTTGAACCTGGGAGGCAGAGGTTATAGTAAGCAAGGATCACGCCATTTCACTCCAGCCTGGGCAATAAGAGCGAGATTCCATCTCCAAATATATATACATGTATATTTTACGTTTCTTTTGGTGGGTGAGGATGGATATAGCTTTGTTAGTGTCAGTATTTTAAAAGCAGCTATGAAAATGCTCAGCTGTCTGTGGAGGTGACCTGCTGGAGGAGATTTGGAGACTCTTCTGTTCATCTTTTCCCTACTCATTGCTTCCCTTTATTAAATGTAGAGAAAAGTGAAGGCCTTGCTTGCCAAGCACTGCCCATTGGACTTCTGTCCCCATGCCTCCTCCCTGTGCCCCTGAGATCTCCCCTCTGCATTAGTACCTGCCACGGTGCACAGAGGATGCAGCCCTCGACCCTGGCAGCCCTTTGCTGTCATTCACACAGTTGGTGGGGATGGTGGACACTGAGCTGAATCTCCAAGCCCTGTGTGAGGACAGGAGACCAATTCTAAAAGGAGCAAAGGGCTGAGCATCTCTCACTAAAGGGAGTATACAAATTAGAACAAAAATAAGAACCCAAAGACAATACAAAATGTGAAAGAAACTAAATAAAAATGAGTGAAAAATAGAATGTCAGCTGGATGAGGACAAAAATAAAATGACTGGAAAAATATTCCAAGTAAATACTGCTGATCATCGTCAGAAAGCCATTGAATCGGAGATCACTGAGGCAGCATGTGCATTTTAATCTTTTGGAGCTGTAGCCCAGGTGCTGGAGAAGTCTATTCTGGGAGGGAAGACATCACCACAGATGGGGCTGAGCTTCACAGGTCTGTGTGCCGGAGTCACAGGTCTGCTGTGCGGTGCTGGGGCTCAGTCTTTTTGTGTAGATGACATCATTTTTCATTTTTTTTTTTTTAAGATTCTGCCTTCTCACAAACACACACCCTGCCAACAAAATTATTACTCTAAGGGTAAGAATGCTGGGCTGAAGCCACCAGCTCCCACTCATACCAGCATTTACATGTCAGCTTCTTGGGAGAGGCTGTGGAGTTGTGGCGGGGAAGGGCACAGACTTTGCATCCAGAGAAGCATGGGCTGGACATCCAGGTTTCCCATTCCCTATGAATGCAATGTTGTCTGACACATTTAGCCTTGCTAAACATTAGTACTCCAATTCACACACTGAAGAGAATGCCTTATGGAGAGTTGTTAGGATTATATGTGATAAATGATGTAAATCATCTCACTCAGGTCCTGCAACATACTATGGTCCTTGATAAGTTGTAGGTGTTGTTATCATGGTCATAATCTCAGACAGCTGATTAGGAGATTGAAAAGAAGCGACACAGGAGAATGCAAGAACAGTGGGTAATCAAAAATACAAGGCAGAGTGGCCTTGGGATACTGCAACATTAATTTTGGTATGTTTATTTTCAATCTGGGTACTTCATTTACATCATTAATTCCTCATTAATTAGAATAGTTTGGTTGTGCTGGTTGCAGTTATTGTTAATTTTGTTGGCTTTTTAAAGCATACAGTTATGTTACTATCTGCAAATAGTGACATAATTTTCATTTTCTAGAATGGACACTTCTTATTTTAGCTTCAAATAGTATTGCCTTGGATGGAGGAGTGGCCTCCGGGAGCATGATAGTCACCTGGGGAGTTTGCTAAGAAGAGATGCTATTTCTAAAGTGGTTCAATTTGATGCTGTAAAAACTAGGAATAGAAAAAGATGGAAATCTTTTTAATTCCTGTCTTGTTTTATGGATTCTTTTATGCTTTCTATTACTCTGCTTTTAACCCTTTGATTATTTCATCTTCATTCTTTTAGCATGTCTATTTCTACAGTTATTTTTACCTCTAAGTTTTTCTAAACCTCCTCCTGTAAACTGCATTTTTTTCTGGTTAAAAAAAATGAAAGTTTTCTTCTTGATTTCATCTATACCAGATGTCCCTCTTCACTGACTTATCCATCGTATATCTTAGCCTTTGATGATGTAATCTGTGGCTTTGAACTGAGATTATTGTTGTTGCAATTCCGCTAAAACATGCAGGTGGCCCAGTCTCATAGAAGCTTTAGGTCAAAAGAAGATATCACACCAAAGAAGACCCAATTTAAAAATAACCCCATTCTTTGCATATCCATCTCAAACACCACACTGGGGCTCTGGAGATTACAATAAATCTTAAAAACCTCATTTTCTCTCTTGTCTACTTTCTTCTATCCACCAGCTTCTCCAATACTTTCTTTAAATTCTTTAAAAACTTATATTTTCATTCCTAGCCTTTATATCTCTTGTCCTTCTCTGTTTTCCTTTGATTTGGCATTACATATACCATCCGCCACCTCCACCAAAAACCCAGCCTACCAATGCAAGAAGACTCTTGGAAGGGAGAGGGAGGAGGATTAAAACAAATGAGCATGACCAGAATTTCTGTTGTTGGTTTACTCCTTTGTGGAATACATTCTTGTTTTTGTTTTTTTAAAACAGTACACCCTAAGTAAAGTTTCTGTATATTTGAATGCTTGAAAGTGTATCTTTAAGCCTTTACATTCAGTTACAGTTTCAGTAGACATATAAACATAATTTGATAAAAATATTCTGTGGTTGAAGACTTAGACTCCATTATCTTCTAGTACTAGCAACTGAGATGAGAAACTGGCGGCAGCAGGAAATTGTAGAAATTCTGTTCATTTTTTTTCCCTGGACGTTTTTAAGACCTTTTCTTTATCTTTGATATTCTGAGATTTCTCTCATTCTGCTGGTACTTTTTGGCAGAATATTCTGTGGTTCTGAGATATTTTATTGTATTATATCTTGGATTATTTTCTCCCCATGTTGTCTAGTCTTTCTGGGTCTACTTGGAGGATGCAGCTTGGAGGAATCCTTCCTGCTCTACCCTTACTCTTGGACTAGCCAGGTGGCACCCTGGAGAAAAGATGATCAGAGTACTTGGCTTACTCATGTTTCTTCATGCATTGGGAGATGTGTTCTCTTCCTTGGTCTACTTTTCTGTTCCTCCTCCCTTCTCATCACCAGAGTGGCAAAAATCTTAAAAACCTAGAAATCTAGGTTTTCAATTAGGGGCAATTCTAGCAATTGTCCCTCGCCCCAGGGGATGTCTAGCAATATCTAGAGACAGTTTTGATTGTCACACTGTGTGTATGTGTCAGTGGGGGGGGGGGGTTGTGCTACTGACATATAGCCAGAGATGCTGCTAAGATACACAAAATGGCGACCCCAACCAAGAAGTATCTGGTCCCGAATGTTGATGGTGCTGAGGGGGAGAAACCTGCTCTAGAGGATGGAGATTATGGTAAAACCCTGGAGAATGCAGACTAAGAAGCCTGCTGCCTGGCTTTAGTCTAAACCACAGAAGCAAAAGAAAATGTGTATCTCCCACTTAGCCAGCCTGATTTACTGGGGCCAGAGACCTGAAGAGGAACCTCTTCCAGGAGTTCTTGCATCTCCCTTTCCAGAAAACTGCCTGGGCTGAGCAGTTGGGTGGCAATATAGGCATCCTGAATTCCAGAAGTCTCTTTCAGTCTTTAGTTGGGGACAACTGATAAGTGCAATAAATGTTTATGTCTCATCTCTGTGCTCAACTTGTGGATACAGCATTCATTGGAAAGGATGTGGTCTTTGACTGCAGAGTGTGGAGTTGAGTGGGGAAGAGAGGCAGTCATACAGATAAGAATCACTGTATTGTGTGTGGCCATGGGATATTACAGGGGCTCATGAGGGCCTGTGGTGAGGAGACTGAAAGTCATCCAGGGGCGCAGGGAGGGCGCTCTGAAAGAGCGGCGTTTAAGGGGGATCTGGGGAACGGCTCAGCAGAAGGACAGTGTCCAGGCAGAGGGCAGAGCATGTGCAGAGCCTCAAAGACAAGGGAGGCATCAGCGTGATGAGGAATGGAGGAACTGCAGGGTGGCAGGGGCATCGATGTGAAAGGAATGGAGGAACTGCAGCGTGGCTGGGGCATCAGTGTGAAGAGGAATGGAGGAACTGCAGCGTGGCTGGGGCATCAGTGTGAAGAGGAGTGGAGGAACTGC